GCATACCCCAGCTCAGAGCCTCCCTCTCCCAGACCTGCAAAGGACCTCTCCTGTTTTTTATTCTTCGCAGGATCCACAATCTGAACTCACAATTCTACTCAGCTTTATTGGACACTAAAAACCGTAAGTACAGTAAACTTACTGGTGCCTGCCAACGAAAACGGGCCTACTCCACCTCCCAAAACCCCAACCCCACCCAGGACCTTCCCCACAATGTGCCCACTGCCATTGGCCATGAGGCCACTGTCGGGGAACCCACAGATAACGTCACATCCGTCACCGCCGGGTACCCCACTTCCGGGACAGTGAACGCCATCGCTGCTGATGCCACCGCCCCCATTTCCGAGACCAACACCACAGACACTGAAGACGCGCTTACCGTCACCGCTGCTGCTGCCGCCTACCCTGCTCCGCCCACCGCCGACGCTGCTCCGCCCATCACCGAGGCGGACGCAACTCCGCCCACCGCCGACGCAACTCCGCCCACTGCCGACACAACCCCGCCCACAGCCTACGCTGACACAACTCCGCCCACAGCCGACACCGACATTACTCCGCCCACCGCCTCCACAGCCAGCAGCTCCAGAGAAGACAGCAACAACCAGCCCTGCCGAGTCTTCACCATACCCCCAGACCTCCCCCTTACTGAGGACGAACGGTCAGTCCTCAGTAAAGGGCTCACCTTTGTCCCCCTCCACCCACACATCAACGAATACCGTTCACGATTGGACATAGAGCAGTTTTTCCGCTGCCTCCGCCTCCACGCTTACTTCTTCAACCATGTACCTAACCCTCCCTCTACTGACCCCTTCTCCCACCTCCGACACACCCCCTCCTCCTGGACACCACTCCAAGGCCTCCTACCCTCCCTCGACCTCTTCATCTCCAACTGCTGTCGAGACATCAATCGCCTCAACCTCTCCACCCCTCTCACCTACTCCAACCTCTCCCCCGCAGAACGTGCAGCCCTCCGCTCCCTCCGCTCCAATCCCAACCTCACCATAAAACCTGCGGACAAGGGAGGTGCAGTTGTAGTATGGCGCACTGACCTCTACATCGCCGAGGCCAGACGCCAACTCTCCGACACCTCCTCCTACTGCCCCCTTGATCATGACCCCACCCCCGAGCACCAAACCATCACCTCCCAAACCATCCACAACATTATCACCTCAGGTGATCTCCCACCCACGGCCTCCAACCTCATCGTTCCCCAACCCTGCACCACCCGCTTCTATCTCCTTCCCAAAATCCACAAACCTGAATGCCCTGGTCGACCCATTGTCTCCGCCTGCTCCTGCCCCACCGAACTTATCTCCAACTACCTGGACTCCATTTTCTCCCCCTTGGTCCAGGAACTCCCTATCTACGTCCGTGACACCACCTATGCCCTCCACTTCCTCCAGAGCTTCCAATTCCCCGGTCCCCAACACCTCATCTTTACCATGGACGTCCAGTCCCTATACACCTGCATTCCCCATACAGATGGCCTAAAGGCCCTCCGCTTCTTCCTGTCCCGCAGGCCCAACCAGTCCCCCTCCACTGACACCCTCATCCGCTTAGCCGAACTCGTCCTCACCCTCAACAACTAAAAAAGGATGAAGGTTCTGGGCCCGAAACATCAGCCTTCCTGCTCCTATGATGCTGTGTTCATCCAGCTCTACACCTTGTTATCTCATTCCAGGTATTAGTCTGGTAAATCTTCTCCAAACGGGGCTCTTTCTCCTGTTTGATTTGGTTCTGCTCCCAAACATGCATCTAGTGACATTAAGGTCAGTGATACATGAGCATTTGAGTGACGGAGGCAAGTGAGTCTTGATCCTGATCAGGGTGTGAGTGACCCGAGTTAATCCAACACTCCAGGGCCAGTCTAGGTGGAGCTTGACCACTCTGTGCTCTACCTTCTCTGCGAATGTTTGATGGGACAGTGTCAACGTGGAGAATTTGTTCCATCCCCATTTTAAATATGGAGATTATTTTTATTTACTGATGAGATGTGGGCGACACTTAATTGTCCATCTCTGATTACCAAAAGAGCAGTTAAGAGTCATACACTTTACAGTGGATATGGAGTCATATGTAGATCAGACCAAGTAAGGCCAACAATCTTAAACGTAGATAAATCCCTGGGATCTGATCAAGTGTATCCAAGGACGAGGCTCCACACAGTAGACTGGTTAGTAAAGTTAGATCATATGGAATCCAGGAAGTGCTAGCCAAATGTATACAAAATTGGCTTGACAGTAGGAGACAGAGTGGTAGTAGAGGGTTGTTTTTCAGACTGAAGGCCTGTGACCAGTGGTGTTCCACAGGGATTGGTACTGGATCCACTGTTGTTTGTCATTTATCGAAACAATTTGGATGAGAAAATAGGAAGCAGGGTTTGTATAAAAACCAAAAGAACTGCTGATGCTGTAAATCAGAAATAAAAACAAGGTTGCTGGAAAAGCTCAGCAGGTCTGGCAGCATCTGTGAAGGAGAAAACAGAGTTAACGTTTCGGGTCCGATGACCCCTCCTCAGAACTGATGGTGGCTGGGAAAACGTCAGTTTATATGCAGAAAATAGGGAGGTAGGTGGGGTAGGGAGTAAACAATAGGATAGAGCCCAAAGAGAGAGAAAGACAGTTGGACAGACAAAGGAGTTGCTAAGGATCAGTCTGGAGGGTGAGTAGTTGTAAATGGGGACTGTTGGTGACTAACAACAGGTGGTATGTAATGGCAGGCCATGTGATAACAGGGCCTGGTGTGTGGGGTGGGAGGCTGGGACATGGGAGAGTTTAGGTCCTAAAATTATTGAACTTGATATTAAGTCCGGAGGGCTGTAGGGTCCCCAAGCGGAAAATGAGGTGATGTTCCTCCAGCTTGTGTTAGGCTTCACTAGAACACTGCAGCAAGCCAGGGACAGAGATGTTGGCCAGGGAGCAGGGTGGTGCATTGAAGTGGCAGGCTACAGATAGTTCAGGGTCTTTTTTGCGAGCAGAACGTAGATGTTCTGCGAAGCCGTCACCAAGTCTACGCTTCATTTCCCCACTGTAGAGGAGACCACATTGTGAGCAGCGAATGCAGTAGACTAGATTCTGGGAAGTGCAGGTGAAGTGTTGCTTCACCTGGAAGGTATGTTTGGGCCCTTGGATACTGGGGAGGGAGGAGGTAAATGGGCAGGTGTTGCACCTTCGCCGGTTACAGGAGAAGGTGCCGTAGGGCTGTGGAGAGATGTTGGGGTGAAGGAAGTGTGGACCAGGGTGTCCTGGAGGGAATAGTCCCTGCGGAAGGTGGACGAGGGAGGGGAGGGGAATATGTGTCTGGTGGTGGCATCCTGGTGGAGGTGTCGGAAATGGCGTCTGATGATCTTCTGGATGTGGATGCTGGTGGGATGGTAGGTGAGGATAAGGGGAACCTTATCGCTGTTGCGGGAGAGAAGAGAAGGGGTGAGGGCAGACGTGCAGGAGATGGGTCGGACCTGGTTGAGGGCCCTGTCAACAACAGAGCTGGGGAATCCTCGGTTGAGGAAGAAGGTGGACATTTCGGAGGCTCCCTTGTCGAAGTTGGCCTCATCTGAACATATGCAACGGAGACAGAGGAACTGGGAGAATGGGATGGATTCTTTATAGGAAGTGCGGTGTGAAGATGTCTAGTCCAGGTAGCTGTGGGAGTCAGTGGGTTTGTAATGGATATTAGTGGCCAGTCTATCCCGAGAAATGGAAACAGAAACGTCGAGGAAGGGAAGGGAGGAGTCAGAGATAGACCAGGTAAAAGTGAGGGCAGGGTGGAAATTGGAGGCGAAATTGATGAAGTTTTTCAATTCCAGACGAGAGAGGGAAGCAGCACCGATGATATCATCGATGTATCGGAGAAAGAGTTGTGGGTGGGGGCCAGAATAGGACTGGAACAAGGAATATTCCACATACCCCACGAAGAGACAGGCATAACTAGGGCCCATGGCACCCCCTCTTATCTGAAGAATATGAGAGGAGTTGAAAGAGAAGTTGTTGAGGGTTTGAGCATGGTTTGTATGTTTGTGGATGACACCAAAATTGGTGGTGTAATGTACAGTGAAGATAGTTATCTAAAAGTACAACGGGATCTTGATCAGCTGGACCAATGGGCTGAGAAGTGGCAGACAGAGTTTAATTTAGATAAATGCGAGGTGTTACATGTTGGTAAGACAAACAAGGGCAGCACACACAGTTAATGGTAAGGCCCTGGAGAGTGTCGTCAAACAGAGAGACCTAGGGGTGCAGGTATACAGTTCCTTGAAAGTGGTATCACAGGTCGACAGGGTGGTTGGCACACTTGGCTTCATTGGTCAGAGCATTGAGTGGGATATCATGTTGTAGCTGTACAGGATGTTGGTGAGGCAACTTTTGATGTCCTCCATACAGTTCTGGTTGTCCTGCGAGAGGAAGGATATTATTGACTTGGAAAGAATGCAGAAAAGATTTACAAAATTGTTTTTGGGATTGGAAGGTTTGAGTTAAAAGGAGAGGTTGCACAGATTGGGACCTTTTTCATGGAGCATAGATGTTGAGGGGTGACCTTATAAAGGTTTATAAAATCATGAGAGGCACAGATCAGGTGAATAGCAAAGTTCTTTTCCTCCAGGTAGGGGAGTCCAAAGCTAGAGTGCATAAGTTTAAGGTGAGAGAGGAAAGATTTAAAAGGGACTTTACGGCAACTTTTTCACACAGTAAGTGGTGCATATATGGAACGAACTACCAGAGGAAATGGTAGATGCAGGTACGGTTACAACATTGAAATCCCTGTCAAACATTTACCAGGGAAACTGAGACAGCAGCTGCAATAAGTGAGGTTTTATTCAGATGGGACAATGACAAGTTTAAATCCCCATCTGATCTACTGCACAAAGTCACCTCCATTTCACCGGTCAGTTTCCCAAGCTTCAGGAAACTCATGTTGCTGCAGAAATATTTGGATTGACTGTGAGAGACGTCAATCAGAGAGCCCACCCACTCTGCCCATTCTCTCCTCTTCCTCTTCCTCTTCCAGAGCTGGTTCACTTCCTATAGGGACTGAAAACAAGTGAGGAGATGGTGAGTGAAGGAGCAGCTTTTATACAAATTGTATCCCATAATATCCACACCAATCTTCAGGCAGTCTGACTATCCTGTGGGCAATCAGGGGTGGAAATGTCCCTTATGCTGTGTGAGAAGATCCAGCTGAGAGAGCTGTTTACTCGGTGCTTTGTACTGAACTGTTTGAGTGGAGCTGTGTGTTGGATATTGAGTGTGTTTATTGGAAGCATTTCCCCTTTGATTTCCAACTTGAGTTTTGTTTATGGCTAATTCCTGCATATGAGAAGGTGAGGTGTCATTATCTGGGTGGGGCAGAGTGTCTGAGGATTCATACTGATTTCCTTTTGTTGAGGTATGTGTGTGTTGGGAGTTAGTTATTATCCTGTCGACGGTTAATTGGTGAATTAATTGAGGAAAATGCACCACATTTTCCCATGCACTAGTGATCATAAAACTCTGAGACAAAGGAGCAGAAGTCGGCCATTCAGTCACCTCCCCCTCATGCGCTAATCAGTTACCTGGATGTCTCAGTTACTTATGACTCACCCCAGCCATCCAATCACTTCCACAATCTCCCTGCCCCACCAGTCACTCCCAGGGCTCCTAGTTACCTCCCACATCACCCTCGACAGTAATCCAAGAATCCTATCACTCTCAGGAGGCCCACTGATTCCCCAATTAACTAATAGATGCTTCCAAGCAATTGACCAATTAGCATCTCTGTGACGCCAAGTGATCAGTTTCACAAAGATCTGTTCAAGGGCCAAGGTTCAAGGAACGAAAAGTTCACAGCAGCCTGGCATCCTCACCCTGAATCACTGTCATCCCTGTCCTGATCCACACCCCCCCCCACTACTGCACAGTCACCTTAACTCCTCCTCACCACCACCACATCGCTGATGCATGCTCATCACCATCTCACTCACCCTCCCTCCTTCACCTATACTCTCCATCATCCCTCTCACCCTGGACCCGATTCTCACACCGTCTCAGCCCCCAGCCCGACTCACAGTCCCTCTCAGCCCCTGGCCAGACTCTCAAACCCTCTTGCTTTGTTGCTTTCACCTGCTCATTTCTGGCCCCCTCTCACCCCTCATCACTGGTCCCCTCTAAGTCCCTTTCGCTCAGCGTCACCTTCAGCCCAATTCACCCTTACCCTAAGCACAACTATTGTCCTTACCCACTCCCCTCAACTCTGACCCGAATGTAGTTACCTGGCCTGATTATCTTCTCCTCATTCCTGGTCCAACTCTCACGCCTTGCCCCCAGCCTGACTGTCACAGCCCAGCCCAACCATTCCCCACATTCCCTAATCATTCATTGCCTGATTCTTCTCCCTTTCCCACATGGCCTGGTCTAACTCTCTTTGTACTCCATCACCCACCAACCGCCCACTTGATGGCCTGACTTTAAATTCCCTCTTTCTCAAGTCAGAGTCTCCCTGAAAACTTCCACCCCTTTACACAGACTTCCCACCATGGCATAGCGACAACTCACCAATTCTCCTCTGACTGCATTTTCAAAACCCGCAACCTCTACCATTGGAAGGATAAGGGGCAATAGCTACATGGGAACAATACCTTCAACAAGTTCCCTTCCAGACCATGTATCATCTTGACTCAGCACTAGATCGCTGTTCTGTCACTGGTGATCAGTCTACAGCAGATGAAATGTAGTGGTTCAAAAAGGCTCCTCATGGGCAATTATGAAAATGCAACAAATGCTCTCCTTGCCTGCAGCTTTTCTCTGAAATGATAAACAATAAGTACGAAGGAGATGGAGCTTAGCAAAAACAAAGGAGTTGGAAGAAATTATGTTTTGTTTTCTTGTTTTACAGAAGAATTGCACTGTACGCACCAGAGAATACGTAGAAGATGGACACTGCAGACAGATCCTGACCATCACCCAAGGAACAACTGCACAACTGTAGGAAGACATCCAGTCTGTTCACTGCTCAACACAAAGAGAGTTCGGCAGTGAAATCAGTCGGGTCAGGGGAGCTTTGACATATCACCAGATCTGAAACTGGTCAGTGGTGTGGAGCCTTCCATCAGAACCCAGCTTTCTGAAGGTTCAGCTGTGGGTGAGACCGAGAAGAAGTGTGAGTGGCTCCCAAGTGTGGTGAGAGCTTCGGTCATTCATCGAGGCTCATGAACCACTGACTCATCCTTACAGGGGTGAGGCTGTTCGAGTGTGAGGTGTGTGAGAAGAGCTCCAGAGATTCTGATCACATTTTGCATCTGTTGTTAATGTAAGGACAACTTCATGGAAGAGAAACTGTTCAAGTGTGAGGTCTGCAACCGAGCTTTTGCAAAGTCATCAAGACTCATGAATCACCAACGCATTCATACGGGGGAGAAGCCATTCAAATGTGAGGTATGCAACCGAGCTTTCGCACAGTCATCAACGCTCGTAAATCACCGACGTACTCACACTGGGGAGAAGCCATATGTGTGCGAGGTGTGTGACAAAGCATTCTCACAGCCATCAAACCTCCGTGTACATCAACGTATTCACACAGGGGTGAAACCATTTACATGCGAGGTATGTCACAAATCATTTTCAATGTCAGCAAACCTCCGTTTACACCAACGCATTCACACAGGGGAGAAACCATTCACATGCAACATTTGTATGAAATCATTCTTGAATCCAGTACACCTCTGCATACACCAACGCATTCATACAGGGGAGAGACCATTTGCATGTGAGGTGTGTGACAAATCTTTCTCTCAATCATCAAGCCTCCGTGTTCACCAACGCATTCACACAGGGGAGAAGCCATTTGCATGTGGTGTTTGTGACAAGTCATTCTCACAGTTATCAAGTCTTCATGTACACCAACGCGTTCACACAGGGGAGAAGCCGTTCACATGTGAGATATGTGACAAATCATTCTCACAGACATCGAGTCTCCGTGTTCATCAACGCATTCACACAGGGGAGAAGCCATTCAGGTGTGAGGTGTGCAATAAATCGTTTTCAAGCTCATCGAACCTCCTGCTCCACCAGAAGATTCACACAGGAGAGAAACCCTTCACGTGCAAAGTTTGTGACAAGTCATTCTCAGGATCATCAAAACTTCTGCTGCATCAAAGGATTCACATCGGGGAGAAACCATTCAGGTGTGAGGTCTGTGCCAAATCATTCTCACAGTCATCGATCCTCCGCATCCACCATCGCATTCACACTGGGGAGAAACCGTTCAAGTGTAATGTGTGTAACAAATCGTTCTGTCAGTCATCAGCTCTCCGGACACACCAACGCATACATACAGGTGAGAAACCATTCATGTGCAATGTGTGCAATAAATCATTCTCCAGGTCGTCGAGCCTCCTGCTCCACCAGAGGACCCACACAGGAGTAATCTTTCCGGTGTGAAGTTTACTGTAAAGATTTTGCAACACCTATGTTCAAGCACCTGGAAAAACCACAAGATTTACACGAGGAAGAAACGCTTCAGGTGTGATCTTTGTAGCAAGGCTTTCACTCGGCCATCCAAGTCCATCAAAGCATGAACAGAGGGAAGAAATGCCGTTAGTGTGAGCTCTGTAATAAAACCTTTACACAGTTGTTGGACTTCCTGAAACATCATCAAACCTATATGGGCCTAGCCAACTTCTTATTAAAATGTCACTAGTGTAAAAATCTGCAAAAGCTCAATGCACAGAATGTTCAGTAGGACAGAACAAGAAGCAGCTTTCACTCCCATCAAACACCTAGTGATGACATCACCAGTGCTGAGGGATTATGATGTCAACAATGGAGCCACCCTGCAGTGTGATGTCAGTGACACAGGACTTGGAGCAATCCCCATGCAGTGAGGGAAACCCGTTGTGTTTGTATCCAGAGCGTTAACACAAACTGAACACTACTGTACACAGATTGAGAAAGAGACCCTGGATGTTGTCTTTGATTATGTGGACTTCACCCAGTACCCTTTAGGGAGAGAAAGTGACAGTAGAATCTGACCACAAACCATTTCAAAGCATCTTTCTCAAACCATTTCAGTCTGTGCAAAGCTTTTCAAAAAGGATATTACTTGATTTGTAGAGATATCACTTGGGAGTGAAGTACAAGAAACAGAAACATTGCTGACAAGCTGTTGACAGCTGCATTCCCTTTGAAGGAAATTGATTCTCTTTGACGGAAGTACACAGTTTGAAATCTTCCAGATTCAGCAAGCACCAACAACACAAGGATAACATAAATCCGTCAAGGACACTCCTGTGACAGTTAGACAGTATTGGACAAAGAAAGTTGAGGTGATCGTCCAAGATGGCATCTGTGCATAGGGAACAGGGTCATTATCCCTGAAGAGATGGGGAAAGAGATGCTGAAGCATAAACCACACAAACCATTAGAGTTGAGTCTCATCTGAATAAGGTAAGAGAGGTGATCTACTGCCCAAACATGAGCAATGAGATAAAAAAACCACATCAGCTAATGTAGTGTTTATAACGAACATCAAACTAAACAAGATAAAGGGTTACTCATGACATCCCAGACAGCCCATGGATAAAGCTTGGAATAGACCTCTTCACTTTCACTTGAACTGATTATCTTATCACAATCGAATAATATTCAGACGGCAAGGAGTTAGAGCAGCTGATTTTACGGATTCCTAGTGAGATTGTAGAATGTCTGAAAGCACACTTCAGTCATCTTGAAATCCCTGATAATGACATCAATTCCTGAATGAACAATTCAGATATTTCATGGATGGGAAATTCAGCACCATCCATCGTCTCCACATTATCCCTAGTCAAATGGAAAGGGTGAGGAATTGGTGAAAATTGACAAAGGCATCATCAAAATCTAGCACATCTAGCACAGATGTGTACAATGTGATCTTAGAGCAGAGAATCACAGCTACTGAAGGCATGGAAGTTTTCCGGGCCGGTGACTGTTGTAGCACCACTCCAAACTATATTTCCTAAAGCTAAAGTAATACTGAAGCCAGAAATAGTGCTATAAGTGAACTGGGAAGAATAGAATAGAATAGCCTTTATTGTCACATATACTCAACGAGAATAGTGAAAAGTTTATATTGTCGCCAATTACAGCACCGACTCAGATACAAAAGTACCTAGGCACAGCTTCTTTTGTTACAAGATTTGTTACAGAAATAAAATGTCCAGTTCAATAAAGCAGATCACACTGGCACTTAGCTTCCAGTCCACGGCTCTACACCATGCCAGCGACACGCCGGGAGGCCATTGCGCCAGGTCGAGAAGTCGTCATGTCGACGCCAGGAGCCCCAATGGGAGGAGGCCGCTGCGTCAAGCCGGGAGGTCACCACAGCACACCGGAGGCTGCTGCAAGAGGCTGGGAGGTTGCCACGCCATGTTGGGAGGCAACTGTGCCAGGCCAGGAGTCGTTGCCGGAGGCCAGGAATTGTTGCTAGAGGCTGGGGATTGTCGCTGACTAGTGGCTGGGGATCGTCACTTGCCAGAGATCGGGGATTGTCGCCAAACGCCAGGGATTGTTGCTCCTTACTGGAGGCCGGAGTCATTGTCAAAGGCCCGAAGTTGAAGGCGAGAAAGAAGAAGGAGAAGAAGAAGAGAAAAAAGGAGGATGAAAAAGAGAAAAAAGAAACGAAGAAGAGCGGGCGGAGAAATGAGCTCCGGCTGGAGAGTCCTAATCCATCGCCATCTTACACTGATAATTGTTCTTCACTGTGAAACAAGTGATCCCTAAACACACAAAATCCCAACAAGATCACCAAGATGATCAATTTCCCTGATTGACTGCTTTTCAGGACACAACAATCACGAGTTTCATCATGAACATGAAATTCTTGTGACACACTCAACTTTAACAAAAGGCAGGATAAAGAAAAGTATTCTTAATCTATGGCTATGCATCTTAGCGATAGTTCTTCAACATCCCAAGTACGTACATATACACACACACACACACACAGACAAAAGACAAACATGTGGCACATAAGTATGGATAAATATAGACTGGATAAGCGCTATTCTTAAAATCAAAAGTCGAAATTTCAAAGGTGTATTAAATTGTCTTTATTAAATTTTTAGCACTGATGACACGGTTGTCTATAGGGCGATGGCTGTTATTTGATTCAAAAGTTGATTTTAGTCTTTTCTTGTTAGAAGTATTTCTTTTAAGCTTTATTACTTTCTTGTTTCTCCCTACATGAAGAAACAGCAAGGGAGAGATGGATGATTTCTGTTTGCAGGTTCTGGATGTTTTGCTCTGCTCCCCTGACATTTACAGCTTTTTAATACTGCATCTCAAACAATAAAAGGACTGTCATCAGCTAGCAGTCCTTCACTCAAAGTACACTCAGTGCCACTCAGTCTTGAGCCGACTCCATCATTGCTACAAAAAGCAGTGTCTTGCGTGGCTCCAAATTATGCCAAAATAATTAATTTGATTTTCAAGTTGCAAGCTGTTGTATTTCAGTTACATAATTGCCCAACTTCCATTTCAGTTTATAGTCCCAAAAAAGAAAACTCTGAAGTCTCTTACAATAGTAATGGAACAGTGACAACAGCAAAGTGAAATGGCTGAAATCTAAATTTCAGTTTGACAATGCTTTGGTAGCATTATCAGAACTGAGAGTTGGAGAGCCAGGGTGCAAGCATTAAATATTTTCAACAAATGTCAGCCCATCTGCTAACTATGGATCCATGTAGAGAAGTTGTCACCTCAAACATATACAGTAGAAGTGAAAGACCAGATCTTTTGTTGCAAACAAAGACATCTACCTTCTACTGTGAACAGTTATGGGCCCCGTATCTAAGCAGGGATTTGCTGGCATTGGAAAGGGTCCAGAGGAACTTTACAGAATGATCCTGAGGATGAAGGGCTTATCCTATGAGGAGGGTTATTCAGTTTCATCAATGTAAATGACTGTTTATCAATATCCTTGCAAACTCATATCTGTTCCATTCCTGCATGAGGAGTTGTAATGTGTCATGAATGCAGCTCCTGACATAATTACAAACAACTGAAATTGTTGCCAGTCTTTGTAACTAATTCATGTGCACCTGTGAAGTAGCAGTGGCAGGAAATCCTCAAATAATCAATTGTGGAACTCTGAGAGTCTTGCAGAGTAAAACAGCTGGAATTGGGACTGTTTTATGAACAGCTATGTAACATATCCACCTGGGACAGCAGTGATGATTTTAAAGTCCATATATTATTCCAGCCAAATTGCGGTGAGATGCCTAAATAAGTGGGTCCACAAAAATTCCCAAATGCAGTAAGATCTGATCTACAAGACAAAAACATATCTGATTGAACTACCATTGCTTTGTTCAATCAAAAGGGGAGAGAGAAAAACCGGTGACCACATTTTAGATACACGGGAATGAAATATACAACAGATCTGAACCAATTTAAGAGCAAATTCTACTTGGAAGGCATCATTTGATAATGCTATCATTCGATAAAATTATATTAACAAATTAATTCACAAGCAGATTTCCAGTGGCAAAGGCTCGTAGGCACTGAGAGATATGTGCAGGAAACCTTTAAGCATTCAAGGATGACTTTCTAGCCCTCTTGTAAGAGCTATTGCAACAAATTGTCCGGATTATATTGCTGGTCATAAAATACTGTAAAGTCTGACTGTTTTACCCTAAACTGTTATCTGTGTTGTATAACATAATGGTTCTGAAAGAGTTAATGTATGAACTACACTAAAGCTCTACCAGGCTAACGATATATACATAGTTTCTGGGTGGAGAATCAAGCGGCAGTGAGAATTGGGCAACTTCTCCTGATGGAGAAACATATCTTCCCTACCTCGTGTTTTGAGTCAGATTTAATATAACCTGTTACAGTTACTGAAGTACAATAAAGTACACACTGAAACAAGAACTTCTGTCAACACATGCTCTATCCTCCACCACATGCTAGCAAACAGCCCTATATAAACTAAAATAAAGGAGGATTGGTGGTAGCCAACTCCCCAAAGAATGAATGCCATGAGGGGTGGACAGTAAATGCTGGCTCAGGCAGCAAAATCAATGATTTAAAATGAAATAACAGCAGACAGTGATGGGCATCAAATTCTGCAAAAATGGTCTGTTTCTGTGCTTTGAAAATTAAAATAAAATGGAAACAATGGTGGCAGGACAAATGGAAAGACCGGTGTTCTTGGGGAGCAAGAGCAAGGAGGTGATGTTGTACAAGACACTTGACTTCGGCTGAAGTACTGGGTACAGTTGTGGCACCATGTTATAGGAGAGGTGTGAATGCATTGGAGAGAGTGCAGAAGTGATTTACAAAAATAGTTCCAGGAATGAGAAATATCAGTTATGAGGATAGATTGAAGAAGTTCAGACTGTTGTATTAAAAGACGTTTGTTTATACTGTGAGGGTTTACAATGATGGAGAAAAAACATGATGCCATTAGCTGAAGCTTGGCTGAGCAAGGTGCAAAAAAATTAATTAAAATGCTCTTGCGCCATTAGACTGAGACCTGACTGGAGTCCGAAGCAAGTACAATCTGTCTAAGAAAAATAGATTGGTTAGAATAGTTAAGGTAATGTTACCTCAGTGAAAGAGTTTAGTTTGTGAAATATCCAGAACATCACCTGTGTCTCTGGATTAATAGTTTAGCTAAAACTCCCAAAGGGACCAAATGTGTACACAGTACTCCAGGTGCGGTCTCACTAATGCCTGGTCTAGTTGCAGCAATGCTTGCCTACTTTTATACTCTATTCCTTTCGCAATAAATGCCAGAATTCTACTTCTTTATTATCTGCCGTACCTGCTAGTTTTCCACGACTCCACTAGGAGAACCAGATCTGGCCTATATTTC